TGCATCAGCTCCTCAAGTTTTCATCGCGGTTTATTGGGTTTTGGAAATGATTAGATTTGGTTCCTCTATTTTGCTTTTTTGCCACGGATAACAGATTCACATTAAACCGAACCAAACTTTCCCTAAGGCAAAGAAGAGAGTAAAGAATGAGAGAAATAAAGGAGGAGACAAAGCTATTTCCTTATGAGAAGGGAAGATTCTAACATAATTGATTGAACAGTTGATTATGAAATAATTGACTAATTAAAACGTTGATTATTCTATCTTGTATTTGGTAGGTGAATATACTCGTCCTTCAAATTTTATTTCAATGTTTGGCGTTTACTATTTTGCCCTCGTATATTGAAGAATCATATCTTTTAGTACACTTATTTCTCAAGAGCATTAAGTAACTTTCAAAAATTTAACCCTTCTTTTGTCTGATTGGTAAGAAGATAATAAAAGCAATTGATGAAAAATGCCATTATGTGATGGAAATATTAAATTTGTTATGTTCAATGTCAATTCTTCGTTACATGCCACTATGTGACAAATGTAGTTCTCTGACATATTTAAACAAATTTGATGTTTTAATTTGGAAATCTTTTTTTTTTTTTTTAATTATGGAAAATTTTGAGTTTTTGTTTTAAAGGTGATGCGTCAACTTTAAATCCTTTGGATTGAAATTTAAATGATGTGGCATGTGGGGAGTGGAAGTCAAGTAGATCCTATCAGAGAAAATCAAAGCAGAAGATCCGAATTCTATTTTTCTTTTGATTTCTTCAGTCAGTACCTGATTCTCATCCCCATGGGAGCACCCATCCATTCAGAGACATAATATAATAATGAATTAAAAGTGATTAATAGATTCAATTAATAGTAGGAAGATTTCATTTCTGCTTCTGCAGCCGTTGCTGCTCTGGCTGCCACTTCTGCAGCTGCGGTAGCTCCTGCACCTGCTTCCTCAACAGCAACAGCTGCTGCAGCCGCTGCAGCTCCCGCTCCTGCTTTTGCAGCTGCTGCTGCCGCTACTGCTCTCACTCCTACTTCTGTAGCTTCTACACCCGCTCCTGCTTCTGCAGTTGCTGCACCCTCTGTTGCTCTGGCTCCTGCTTGCTGCAGTCGCTGCTGCTCCCACTGCCCTATGTTGCCCTCAGCCTTAAAAAAAAATTTAAGAAATTTAGTGTGCATGAAGAGACTCAAACCTTGACCCTCAAAGGAGGGAGCCTCATTCATAAACTACTTCATCAACTTTGTTTTTGTGGTATTTTGTCAGTTACTCAATATTTATATTAACAGTCAATGGTTTTTAAGAAGAAAAATATTTCACATCTAGGCCTCCTCTTTGGCCTATTTCAAAACAAAATTTCATTCATAGATATTAAAACTCAAACAGAAATACTCTGTGTGTCAAATCTTAATTAGTTGTTATGTCTAATACCTAATTTTTAATTTTTCTTTATTGTATTCAATCCCAATGTGGCCTTCCCAAAGTGAGCTCCAAATTGACATTCCGTGATATATATGGGACTTCATCATCTTCATCACGTAGGCCTTCATATGGGTAACTTTAGCCTTTTGGATACATCATGTCCTCCCAAAACAAAAGATATGCATACCCTATGTATACCCTCTATATATATATATATATATATATATATATACACACACACAAATATGATGAATAAATAAAAGGGTAAATTTCACCATACTATCTAGAGAAAGATGGAAACATGATTTCCTTTATTTTGTTCACTTATTCCCATGATATATATACGAATGACAACTTTTTAATTAATATTTCAAGATTATATATGTGTTTATATATATATGTGTGTGTGTGTATGTTTTCGAAATAATTTACTTTAAATCGTAATTAAATTGGTACCACTACCTCCTGATCATCAAGAGATTGTATATTTGCCCCGATTGCATGCAGCGAAGTTTCTCCCGTGCTACAAACCAAGATTTTGAGAGAATATTTTCTATTAGTGGAATGGAAGCAATGCATACAGATGAAAAAGCAATCAGAGAATATAAAGCTAGCTTAATTAGCCACTCTCTCTCCATCTGCTCGCACTTTAGTCTTTACATTTTGTGCTGATTGAAAAAAAAGTAGAATTCCATTAAAATCCCCCTTAATTATTTCTTAGAATTTCCATCTCGTCTACTTCCAAAACTAAATAAATAAAGAAGTTTAAAGCCTTCCTTTCGTATTATCTAAGACTAAAAAGCTGCAAAAAGATTTAATATGCAAATTAATTAAGCAACAAATGAGCAGTTTGTTGGAAGTTTGAATGAAATTCAAGAACCTTAGTCCCACATTGGTAGAAAGTAGAAAGAATGAGGTCTTTATAAGTGTGGAAGTCTCACGCTTAGTAATGGAAGTGAGCCAAGTAGAAGCAATTTGGGCTTCAAAATCTACTTGGGCTTTGAATATTATATAAAATTATATAATATTTAATGGTAAAAAAGATGGGCCTTGGGCACTTGGGCACTTTGAGATTTAAAATTATTTTCGCCAGATTCTAAGTCCGAGTGCTAGGGCTTAGAATACAGATAATTGAATCCTGGGATGCAAACTTCAAGCCCCGAGAAGGGGTGAAATTACTGTATTTAGGACATTGCATTAGGACATTACTGTATATAAATTCTATTTATATAATTGTTTTAATTAGTCACTGATTGTTGTTTTTCAACACAGTTTAATTCGTGTTTACCTTGAAGAATTTTCCCACGAGTCCTTGTTATCTTGAACATGAATAGTCTGCGCTGATAAGAGCTGATCACCAGACCTTCTTGGGTTCTGAAGATAAAAAATTATGTCTTCAGTGGCATCCACAGATGATGCATTTTCATGGACATCAGATTGTCCTGTACAATAAAATCATAAAGTTGTGTCGTATTGCACATGTTTCAAAATTGTTTTTGAAATAAATTAAGAAATAAAAAACTGGAAAAAGTAGAGGGCATTATTAACCTGAAAAGGCCGCTGCTCTATCGGCGGTTTTCACCGTCCGATACATCTGCACACATTAATAATTTTGATGCATATTAGAATGGATAATAGAGCATTGGCATTACAATCATAATTTATGCATATTAGAATGGATAATAAAGCATTGGCATTACAATCATAATTTGACCAGTTGTTTCTTGGGGTTTTACACCCTCTCCCCCAGTTCATAAAAATAAAAAATTAAATTAAATAAAAAATAAAAAAAATAGAGTGAGAGAGCGAGAGAGCGAGAGATTACAAAAAATTTATGATTTCTTTTGGTTCTAGACTTGTCAAAATACAGTGCAAGTACATAAATATTTTGGAAGATTCACTATTATACCCAATATATGGGCCTAAATTATATATATAAAAAATCTACATTAAATGGACTTTAGAAAAACACACAAAGCTCATTTACAACATAATAAAGAGGCTTTGAACTTCCTATAAATTATAAAACTACCATCGATTTTTTAAAATAAGTCTAACCTCAAAACACTCAACAGGACATTAAAGTAATTTAATAATCAAAACTAAGTTCAATAGTGTCAATTGTCATTTTATGGGTTTGTTTATAAAGATTAAATTATATAGGAATGCTAAGAGTTGGTATATAAATAAATAGTTCAAACCTTTATCTATATATAAAGCAAAAGACAGAAAATTGTGAAAACATTCAAAATACCAAAAAATGCCCTTGATTAATTCAAACATTAATAATTGAAATTATTAATTAAATGTGAATAATATGGTAAATTCACATTTTTATATTTAAAAAAATTAAAATTAAAAACAAAATCAAATAATATGTCATACTTTTATAGAACATAACTACCCATGTTATTTTTTCTTAATTCTAAAAATAAAATAAAATAATAAAAAAGAAAACCAATTGGCAAGCATGTGTCAAGGGGCTAGTATGAATGATGTGCAATATTCTAGGGAGAATTCTAGTCAAACTGAACAGGTTTCATTTGTAACAGACAGTCACACCCTTCCGTCAATTAACTTTAACTGCATAAGAATTTTATCTTATTTTAACCCGAAGCAATGTCCTTTTGACCGAGAGAGAGAGAGAGAGAGAGAGAGAGAGAGAGAGAG